TCCAGTTTTTAATTTTGTCCACTACAGATGCATACAGCAGTAATATTATTATTAAAGCTCAATACAGCTTCAAATATACAGCATTTTATCTCAAAGGTCATTAAAACTCAATATAAAATAATTCAACCTCGTTATTACTCGAAAAATCATTTCAAAAAGAGCGCTGCCTTTTAACACTTTAACAGACAAAAATTTTTCGTAATTCGGACTTTTAACATATTGGAATAAGGTTAAAAATATAGTGGGAACCATATTCGTATGCCTTTTAAATTTAAAGCTATTTGAACGTGTCGATCGAACGCCTTTTTGAAAGCACCGCGAACATCGAAGTGGGAATTTTGTTCCCGCACCGCGAACGTCGAAGTGGGAATTTATTTCCCACCTCGTTTCTCGAATGCGTGAGCACAAACAATATTTTTCTTACCGACTGGTTGAGGTGGCTTCAATGCATTGGGTAAAGCAATTGGCAATTTGAATTTATTTGGGAAATGACTGTGGTAAAGGAAAATAGTCTTTGTATTACAGATACAAAATAATTGTAGAACGAATCTATACTGATATTATAAATGCGAAAGTAACTCTGTCTGTCTGTCTTGCTTTCACGCGTAAGCCACTGAAGTGATTTTGATGAAATTTGGCTTAGAGATAGTTTCAGTCCCGGGAAAGGACATAGGATAGTTTTTATCCCGGTTTTTGAAACAGGGACGCGCACGTAAAATTTTTCTGTGACAGACAAAATTCCATGCGCGCCCGCATGAAATTTTGTCTGTCACAGAAAAATTTACTAATATAGTATATTATAATTTTACTAGCTTTCCGCATGCAGCTTCGCCAAGCTGCATGCGGAAAGCTAGTAAAATTATATCATTGTCTAGTCGTCTACTGTGTGTTCGTTGTGTTCTTAAATTCTGAGAGGGAATAGTCTCTGGGACTTCACGAGCCCGTGGGACCTTGCAATGAAGATGCATTGGTCAAAACACCTTTTGGACAGGCAATTCATAATTTAACTGTCGATAAAACTGCTGCTTTGAAAGCTCTGAGTGACTAAGAGTTTATGTTGCGTATAATATTTTTTATCATTAACTTAATAACACCTGCTTAATAAGTTTATGAAACAATTTAAAATATCTGTTTCGAATAGCTCACGTATGTAACAATGACATGTTAAAACTAAAATTATACATATAGAAGTTTTTATCAATTATGTGGTATGTAGGTAATTTCTTTTCTTTTGAGATACAAAAAAAGTTGCTTTAAGCACAAAATCAGCTTCGAATGAAGCCCAAGCGAAATAAATGTCTGATTTCGGTGCCCCATCATAATTTTTAACTACTAATTAATTAAAAATAATTATTAATTGTTATTGTACCTACAAGAGATACAACTCACTGAAAGTCTAACAGACAGAGTTACTGATAACCTTTGGCACAATACGAGTACGAAGCCCCAAAACGGGCAAAATCACTTCTAATATCTCATTTTTCTCTGAAAGAATTCAGATATTTCCCATCAATTCAATAACGGAATGAAATCAATAACTGGCCAGATAACTTTCATATTTAAATATCTCAACCCATTTCACTCCATCTTGATTAAATACAGAAATCTTTTCGAGTCCAAAGGGAATTCCTTCGGGTTTGTTTATGAAGGACCATTGTTGTTATGATAGTTGGAATCGTTATGGATTGAAATATGTATCTAACTAGTATCTGAAGTACCTAAATAGTACGTCTTTTATTGTAAAGACTACAAAAAAAAGTTATAAAACCTACCTACTTACTTCTTTGTTTATTTAATATTTTATCAAGAGAAGTAATCGGCCTTTTATCTGAAAAACTGATTACAACATGTAGCTAAATATTTTATTTACCGAGTCCGTACTTTTGAAATGTGTTCACACGGTTCCAGAAGCTCCATAAGTTCCAGAAAACGTTTATGTACATTGTCACTTACCTAGTAAAGATAACGAAAAACAAAACGCCCAAATACTAATCTTTTTACTTACTTTAAAATACCACATTTTAACTACTTTATGTCATACTTGTTCAAAATCACTTTTGAAAAGCTGCTTACCGATTTATTAGCTTTTCTTTTAAATATTTAGGGAGTTAAAAGCATGGACACAATAAACCTTTTAAACTAATACAATATTGTAAACAATAAGCCTTATCTACAAAAATAGATAACAAATAACAACACGTTAAGTTAATCCTTTACTATTTTACAATACCCAAACAAATCGATTAGTAGTTAACGACCACCTAAACCAGCGATAATTATTGAGCAGATTTTAAAATGACCACTTTAACCCTTTTTAGCGATTATTCGCAGCCAAGACCTTTTTAACACCACGTGACCACCATTAGTTTTTTTATAAGTCACTAAAAAGGCTGGGTACCTACTAGGCTTCTATTAGGAATTTTAACTTTAAGGCTAGTTTTTTAATTTTATAATATTTATGAAATATTGTTAATTTTTTTGAGAAATAATAAAATATTAGCCTATAAATGCTAACGCCAATACAATACCTACATGAAGTGTAGTGTGTAACGGTACTTCTAGAATTAAATAAATGATAGAATAAATAACTTGTAGAATTGAATACTTTATGATAAAAATAAATATTAAAAAAACCCAACATACTCGTAGTAATGTTCAGTGATGAGTTTGGTAAAGATATGGGCCAATTGATTAATAATAATTACTTGGGACAAATTGTAATCAACCATTGTTTACCGGGTGCTTCCTATTTTGAAATAATGCGAAAAATAACAAATAATTCATTTTCAAGAAATACCACATTAGTCATTTTAATGGGAAATAGGTGTGATGTAGGCAAAAAAGACCTACTAAACATTTTTGATAGCCTATGCTTACTTAATGTAGATAAAATAATTTTGTTCACATTCCCCTACAATAGAAGCTTGCCACAGGAGGAAAATAATTTAAGATATAAATTAAACTTGACATTGAATACATTGACATAATAATGCAAATGCCATATAATTGACATAAACAATTATTTAAAAAATAAATTTATATTGACAACAGACAAGTACTATCTGAATAAATATTGTAAAAGACTAATAGCAAATTCGCTATCATATTGTATTAAACATTTGTCCATTAATTTGGCTAACCAAACTGCTTTTATTGAGCAGAACATGGATGTTTGACCCGACGACGTATCAAAGGCGTTTGACAAAGTTACATCTTTTGGAATCCCTGTTGGCTTATGCAAATGGATCTCCGATTTTCATGTTGGACGATCAATAAGAGTAGTCCTCGATGGCTACACTTCAAGTCAGCAACCGATTAACGCTGGCGTCCCTCAGGGATCAGTGCTGTCTTCAACACTATTTCTACTGCACATCAACGATATGCTCAAACCCGGTACCTTTGGGTACGCAGATGACACAACAGTCACAGCCAAATATCTATCCATGGCAAAAGCCAGCAAGCGTGAGGTCAAGTCTTGTCGTGAGTGCCTTATTAAACGCTTAAATTTGGCTATTCAGGATGTCTCTGATTGGGGCGATGCCAATCTGTTCCAATGTAACGTGTCCAAAACACAAGTCCATTTCGTATGGCTGCAATATTCCGAGGTGTGCATGTTAAAATCACCGATCGACTTAAATTTTTGGGCATTGAAATGTCCAACAAGTTGAACTTTGGCAAGTACATCGAATCCTTAGCGAAAACTGCTGACAAAAACTTGGTATCCTCTCGAGAGCAATGCAGTATTTCTCCAAGAAACAAAGGCTGCAGTTATAATACAAAGCACATTTTGGCATTGAAATATTTGGCTGCTTTGGATTCGGTGGAAAGGCATGATATAAGCTGGTTTTCAGAATAGATAAACATGCGGTCAGTGTTCAATGTATTAATTGATAACTAACAAGATAATTACTTAAGCTTTCTTGAAAATCTAGAAGATTAGAGACCAGACCAAGGCGACCTAGAGTATTTCAAGTGCGTCGTAATTATTACGAAGAATATAGATGAGGAAGCATTTACAATTAGATTCCGTTTGTCAAAACCTTCTGCACTGAAAATACTACAACTGATAAAAAATAAAAGTGCTTTCTAAAAGCCTACTTGCAAAAATAAAATGAGTTTTTATGAATTTTATTTTTTTCTTAGAGCTCCAGGGAAAGTTTAGGCCATAAGTAGGTTTAGATAACAATACATCAAAACTAAAATATCACACAAAAAATCAAGTGTACTTAAGTTCCACTTTTGAAACGCCGCACAATCAGCTTCCTTAAAAATATTTAGGTAGTACAATACTTGAAGACATTGTCAACCGTTATCTATAGTCTGGTCCGGGAGCACGTAGAATATTGTCCAATGACCCCAAGCTACCCATCCTTATCGCTCGCGCTTAATTATGTTGCTGTCACGCTCGCACACTCACTGCGGGCGCCCGTCGCACAGTCGTAGATAACAAATAACAACACGTTAAAATAATCCTTTACAATTTTACAATACCCAAACAAAACAATTAGTAAACTACCACCTGAATCATAACAATTTCTAGATAATGTGCGATTTAAAGTGACCACTTAAACCCTTTTTAGAGATAATGACCTTTACAATTTTCCAGGTAATGTGTAACAACAATACTGGGCTAATCTTTTTTTGTAGATATTTGTTCTCAGCCAAGACCTTTTTAACACCACGTGACCACCATTAGTGTTTTAGAAGTATCTACTTGGCTTCTATTAAGAATTTACGTTTATAAAGCATACATAGAAACAATGAAATATTCGACAATTTTAATTTTATATGTTTCTGAAGTAGTTTAATGTGAATTATTCTTTTTAATATTTTGCGAAATAAAAAAAGTTTATGAATGATAGTGCAATATATTCAAGGACACGCTTTTATTTTTGAATAAATAGTTTTATACTTGTAGTTTCTTTTTATTCACTGCTCGATGTGGTTCATCGGCCTGGCGTTCGAGCAGCACAATGTCTCCGTGGACTTGACATATGACATTATGTCGTTCACGAAAACATTGTGCTACCAGGCCGATAGGAGCAACGTGTCGCGAGTCGGCAGGACGATTGAGGTGAGCTACATTACATTTACTTTAATAACATTATCTTTGTTTGTCACCTGTCAACCGCTTTGCAATGGAGGGAAGTCGAACCTTAACTTCGAACGATTAATTTCGTTGCTGATCTAATGACAGTTTAACTTTCCCCCGGGACAAACTTGACCTTCATTGGTTGGGTTTTTATTGGCGGTCAAGCTGTAGATCCTGGCTACACAGGAGTTGCAGCGGTGGGAACGAGAGGTGGAAATAGTCCCGTTTAATAACATTATGTATGTGAAGCGGTGTGCTGAGCACCTACAATATCTACAACAAACAAGGAACCCCAAATAAAAGTGTTGAGGGAAAGGGCGAGAGACATGATCCTGGTCTTAAGCGACCTCGACAGACCAGACAGAGATTCTTGAAATGGTTATTTCAAATAGTCATTTTCCATTTCCTTCAAATGCTTTTTAATTGTTCCAGGCCCGTTACGTTCGCCGCAAAGAGCTCCGGCAGTACCTTTGCGAGTCGCTTCTGGAAGGCGCATTGGCAGCAGGCGACAAGCGACGCCGTGCCACACGCGATGCGCCATCCAAGAAGCGACGAGTAGAGGAAGCTGACGGAGCTTGAGGCGTCGGATGGCCTCCGACTGCCGACTCCTGACCAGTCGTGTGTCGTCGTCTCCGTGTAAGCGTCGAGACTCCGCCACGACGGATCGAAGTGCGAAACTATGACGCACGTTCTCCGAAAGAGAACCGGTTAGTAAAAGTTCTATTATTTTTAAACGTTTTGAAAGTTCTTTAAATTTCCTCTGTTACTACTCAAGTCTGGGTGTCACTATGTATAATAATACAAGTAGTATATCCTTTAAACTAGCACTCATTCCATATTATATTGCTTACTTTGGGGCTAGATGGCACTCTGTGAAATTGTTCAAAGATATTTATTAATATCCTCCTCCTCCACCAATTTAACCACAGATTCATTGTTTGTTGCAGATCCGAAGCTTTATCTGAAGCTATGTCTCATCGCATTCAACGCCCGTCAACAATTCAACGAAAGGAAAGAAGCAACGAGCATCGGGACAAGCCAAACGAGCTTGACAATAAAAACGCCTGTGATTATAAAAATTTGTACCATTTTGAATATTTATATGGAAGCACCAAGCACCAAAAATTGTAATAGGCAAATTATATCTTTGTAACTATCTAGTTGATGCTATCCATAATATTGTCTCTAATTTAAAACATGTCAAAAATAAATTTATTATTTCATACTCAATAAAGTGTTTTCTATTATGCCTACCACCATTTAAACACTAAGCACACTCAACATGAACACAGAAACACAAAACCAACAGAATAACTATCACTTAAAATTCAATAAGCAAGAAGAATCATTTAGCACAAATTTCGTTTCAATAATACTTTTACATAAATTGACCCTACTGCTTCAGGACTTGATCTTGGCCAGTGCTGTCACAGAAGCAAGAATTTGGGAATGATTATCGACAGAAACCCTTTTGAAAGCCATAATAGGTACTAATAAATATTTGAATACACCAGAAATTGTTTATACCATTTAAAGCTACATCAGTTGAGACCCTAACTACAAAAATCCTGCTGGATCTCAAATCGTACCGCCAATTACCCAAACCAATGGAAAGAGCTGATACAGTTCAGCTCAAGCCGATTTGACAACGGCAAGACTAGAAAAGCTCTCGATAGCGATACTTTATGCCTTTCGGAGTCCGCTGATGAATGTGACAAAGTATCAATGACTGTTCTTCTCGAGCATAATCCATTGATTCGATCTATCAATGATGATGATGATGATTCGATGTATACTTAACTACAGGGCATTATCAAGAATGACGGACAGATAGAAGACTCAACGTAGATTTTTAAACGACAAGCTACAAAATGCTTTTGCACAGTTTGACAGAATCATCTGAACTATCTACATAATATTATTCGAAAATAATATTATGTAGATAGTTAAATATTTTATTTATTGAGCCTGGTTACATTTGAAATGTGTATTCAATAATTTTATTTCACCAAAAGTAATAATGCGGAACCTAAGATAACTTTCATTTCTACACAGTTCCAGAATCTCCTAGTAAGGCCTGATTTTTCAATCGTTGGATAACTTTTAACTGAACAATAAGTTTGGCATATTGACAGTCTCAGTATGGGAAATATGTCAAAATCACATATTTATTCTTCAGTTAAAAGTTATTTGATGATTGAAAAACCGGCCATAAAAATAATAAGCAATCCCAAATAAGTACTAATCTTTTTAACTACTTAAAATACTTTTTAACTATTTTATATTGTCATTATTTTTTATAAACAATCGCTTTTGAAAAGCTGCATACCGATTTATTAGCTTTTCTTTTAAATATTTAGGGAGTTAAGCATAGACAATAAACCTTTTAAACTAATACAATATTGTAAACAATAAGCCTTATCTACAAAAATAGATAACAAATAACAACACGTTAAGTTAATCCTTTACTATTTTACAATACCCAAACAAATCGATTAGTAGTTAACGACCACCTAAACCAGCGATAATTACCTGCACAATATCTCGATAATGTGTGACTAATACAGATACACTACCTGACCAATTACTGAGCTAATCTTTTTGCAGATTTTAAAATGACCACTTTAACCCTTTTTAGCGATTATTCGCAGCCAAGACCTTTTTAACACCACGTGACCACCATTAGTTTTTTTTGAAAGTCACTAAAAAGGCTGGGTACCTACTAGGCTTCTATTAGGAATTTTAACTTTAAGGCTAGTTTTTTAATTTTATAATGTTTATGAAATATTGTAAATTTTTTTGAGAAACAATTAAAATATTAGCCTATAAATGCTAACGCCAATACAATGCATGAAGTNAATGCAATATCATGTAAGCATTATCATGTAATAGTAGCTTCTAACTACAGTTAATTGAAAGTTTTGTTTGTAAGTGTTACTTGCTTATATTTATTTTAGAATGCCATAATATGCTTGATAAATAAATAAAATAAATTTTACGATATTTTTACAAACTTGTATCTTGTAAAAAGTAGCATAGGAGAAGAACTTGGTTGCGTTAAGTCTAATAAATGACCCTAGATACTTCAGTCGTGTTGTATATCATATTTTATATTGTTTTGTCTTCACTTTCATCTCCACCAGATATTGCTAAAATACAATTTCTCAGCGTAAAACACCGTTACTGGCACTTGCTTATAGACATAAAACAAACTTTTTCAAAGTAAAACATTTATAGTGGCAGTTACGGCTAGAAGATACTTTAATTTTCCGACGTAAAAATAGGTAAGTGCCACCTACTTATAATAGTAACTTTAATTTTCCCTAGTGAAACAACGCAACTACCAGATTCCTACAGTTAATTGATTAATTTGCCGTTGGTATAATGTTGAGTGAAATAAATTAGGTAAGAAACCATAATAATACCTATTTCCTTCATAAATTACGCATCAATTCACTCGATCTGCGCAAATGAAAGTGGCAGTTGCGGGGCTGGGCGCGCGGGGTTAAGCGTGAGGTCCAACGTAAAATTTCGTAACTCCCACTAATGCAATTTTACTGCGGAAATCGTTCTAATTTTGTAGTTGCGGGATTTGTTTTTTGAAGTTTTAAGGTTCAATTTGAATAAAAACTGTATGTTTTTTGAACTGAGCCGTAACTGTTGGGTCCTCTGAAGGTTTTGCAAACAAAAACGGCAAATCACGGAACTGGTAGATACTGAAATGTACGTAGGGACCATATCCTTTACTATTTTACAATACCCAAACAAAACATTAGTAAACTACCACCTGAATCAGTGATAATAATTACCTTTACAATTTATAGATAAGTGTGATTTAAAATGACCGCTTAAACCCTTTTTAGCGTTAATGACCTTTACAATTTCCAGGTAATGGTGTAACAACAATACTGGGCTAATCTTTTTTTTGTAGATAATTTTGTTCTCAGCCAAGACCTTTTTAACACCACGTGACCACCATTAGTGTTTTAGAAGTATCTACTTGGCTTCTATTAAGAATTTACGTTTTTAAAGCATTACATAGAAACAATGAAATATTCGACAATTTTAATTTTGTTTCTGAAGTAGTTTAATGTGAATTATTCTTTTTAATATTTTTCGAAATAAAAAAAAGTCTATGAATTACAATGCAATATATTTAAGGACACACTTTTATTTTTGAATAAATAGTTTTATACTTGTAGTTACTTCTTATTTTAGTTTCAAGTTTTCTTTTGTTTTCTGTTTATTCATTAAAATTCCTTAACCATTTATCGGTATAAACTCTTTATTCGGCAGTGGGAATATAGTTACCACCATTGCGAACTTTATTTCAGTTAAAAAATAACGAAGGACTTGTTATGCCCGTTAAAGGCTTCAAGTCATACTTATAAATATGAATCACATAGTGGCGTCTAAATTATTTATTTATTTAACTGGGCGATTGTCTCCTGGATCCCAAAGAAGAGATTAACTATTTTAGCAAGGTTTTATAGATTTTGATGATGATGAGTAAAAATGAAACAACACTTAGTTACTAATAAATAATTTAAATTTACAGTATTGGCTTATTGTAGAAGTTGAAGAAGTAAGTTCGTCCATAAGTAAGCTCACGGACACAACAACAAAACGGCAACAAAAAAAGTTGAATAGGTAAGTATATTATTAAAGTTTCTGTATTTTATACCATGAATTATAAAAATAATCATCATAATTTAATATGCTCATTAAAGCTAGATATCCTAGCATTATAATATTAATAGCTTTAATAATGCCAGGATAATATTAATATCTATCCGAAAGCAAACGTAAGAATGTGTTTATTCGCTACGAAGTGTTGTTTTAGTCTGTCATTTACTACAATAAACATTTTACAATGGTAAAAAAATAATAAGTAAAAGCATAGCTTTAATGTTATACTCGTCCAATCATTAATGACTATAATTAAAGGGTTATATCATAATAAGTCATCATTAATTGCCCTCATTAGCTCCAGATGCCCGTGTTGGGTATATAAGGACATTAGACCAACCCTTTCCACCATTCTTCCTTCAATCCTTGAAGCGAAAGGTGCTATTAGTCGTTTTCTATTATCGTTTTGATAATCCTAACCCATTTCTAATCATGTAAGTATTTCTTTTAAATAATTCACGTGGTAAAAAATATTAGGTCTCGAATCATACCTTCCCCCACCCTTTCTTACCGGGCGGGCGGACCACGTGACTTTACGCATAAAAGCTCGGAGCGCATCCCTTCTCGTCAGTCTGCATTCTGCCTTCGAAGGGATAAGACGTGCCAATAAATTGTGTCCAGTGTTATAGTAGTGAGCTTGTGCTTTTGTGATTTTCATCATGTATGTATTTTAATTTCTCTGTTTAAATATTTATTAAAGTGTTTTTTAATGTATTTTTAATAGAGAAATCTCTTGTAGTGTTATTAACCCTTTTCTTGGCATTGTGCATTTAAAGATACGTTGACCAAAACAAAAATATGGGGGATAAACAAAAAACTATTTTCAAATGTTTTTTAAATATAACGGTAGCCCAAATACTACAGATTGTGTTAAACAGTATAGAATCACTACAGACTGCACAGATTAAACAGTAATATGCAAAATGTCAGACCGTTGACAGGCGTCTACGCACCGGCTGATAATTTTGATTAATTTTGGTGTTTTTTTAAAAGAATATTGGTAATTAATTGTAGTAATATGGATAGTAAATAAATATTTTTTGATGATAGTGCTGTTTTTTCCATTCCAAAACTTGTATAATTATTCTATACGATGCGTATTGTCCGAATGTATCTCGAAATGCACATTGCCAGATACGTAATAATTTACTTTCAATTTTGAATGTATCCTTAAAGACACATTGCCAGGTTCTCGTTGAATTTATTTTATTATTTTTTTCGTAGATTTTATCGCATAAAAAAGGAATTATTATATCAGTTAGTAATATTTATACCTGTAAATTATATGCCGATGTGAGTTTTAATTAATGTAATAAAGAATCGTTGTTTTTTGAACAACTTAGTGCTGCAGCAACAAAATCAGGCGTACAAATCCCGGTTCTGCTTCCAAAATCCAGAACCAGGTCGAAAGTCAGTAGCAGTGTCACTTCAGCTGATGAATTAGAAACCACGCTTAGCCTCCTGATTCTCTTGGGTGGTTATCTTTCTACTCCAACCAGCCCAGATCACCCCAAAAAGCGAGCAGCCTGTCCAGGCTGCTGCATGCTTCTGGTTATAAAGCTGGTGATTGAACAATTTTAGCCAGTTCGACTGCTGCATAGTTTCCCTGAGAGTTCCAGAGATCCATTTCCGCTATCTTGCGTTTCCACTGTAAGTTGGATATCTAATTATCTTCAATCAAAGACGTGAACACAGTTCGGTACCAGTTGGCATCAATACCCCTCGTATTTCTTTAATGGTCTTGCAAGATTCCCATGTGTTCTGTCTACATTTGCATCTCCTGGATGGTAAGAGTGGTCTGAGGTTCAGGAGGTACTCCAACGACGCTGATGGAGTGGTTTTCATACATCCAAATGCAGCTATACTTGTAAGGCGTTCCAGACTTTGAAGTGGTTTTTTTACTTTGTTTTCAGTTTTTTGTAAAATATATTCATTTTTTATTTGTCAAATAAGGAACAGCTTAAGGTTTTATAGTAATTTTCATTTAAATAACTAATTTCTACTAACAAATAAACCATGTTTTAATTTACTACAAAGCTGGCAATGTGCACTTAAAGATACATACTATATTTCCAAAACTATATACCTAAGATTTTTTTCCGTATTTTTACATGATTTTTATACGTCCTAAATCCAATATTTATAGTGTAAATCACAAATATTAACCAAAACCGTCGTTGCCAAGTATAGGGTTAAAATTAAAATGTGATTTAACAGAAAAATCAGTTGTAGTGTTATTATTAATTTCTGTGAAGATTTTAATAGTTATTTGGTGGTTTATTTGGTTTGTTTTTTTTGTTCCAGGAACTCGTCGAACTGGAAAGCGTACCGTTTGGCCAACCAGCAGGCGTCCGCTAGCGACAAGAGCGGTCGGCCAAACGGGCAGCGGACCGGTCCGCACTCCACCCGCCACCAGGGCCCAAGGACTCAGAACCAACGGGTTCTGAGGGCTCTGGGCATGACCTCCGCCATTTCTTCAGCCGGTAAGCAAAAAATCCTCCAATATCCTATGACTTTGTCACCATTTCTAAGCGTTTACTCTGATTTATTCTGACTGCAAGGGGCACACTGGAAACCAGTGGCCTTCTTCACTTTCTACTTCTTTCTATATAACAACCAATTTATTCTTTCACACAGATCCGAAGCCAGTGGACTTCGTGAAGACCAACGAGCTGAAGGAATGTCTCGTGACATTCAACGTGTTCGAGCCCGAAGCAGAGACCTTCCATCGCATGGAGGTGCTCGGGTCTCTGAACCGTCTGGCGAAGCAGTGGCTCCAAGAGGAGCTGCTGCGAAGGAACGTGCCAACGAATGTCGACGAGACTGGTGGAGGAAACATCTTCACCTTCGGCTCCTATCGCCTCGGGGTACGTAGTCTTTCCTATATCAACTCAGTAGATACCTGACCAAATCTCCCCTTGAATTACTGAGCTAATCTTTTTGCAGATTTTAAAATGACCACTTTAACCCTTTTTAGCGATTATTCGCAGCCAAGACCTTTTTAACACCACGTGACCACCATTAGTTTTTTTTGAAAGTCACTAAAAAGGCTGGGTACCTACTAGGCTTCTATTAGGAATTTTAACTTTAAGGCTAGTTTTTTAATTTTATAATGTTTATGAAATATTGTAAATTTTTTTGAGAAACAATTAAAATATTAGCCTATAAATGCTAACGCCAATACAATGCATGAAGTGTAGTGTGTACCGGTACTTCTAGAATTGAATAAATGATAGAATAAATAACTTGTAGAATTGAATACTTTATGATAAAAATAAATATTAAAAAAACCTAACATAGTAATGTTCAGTGATGAGTTTGGTAAAGATATGGGCCAATTGATTAATAATAATTACTTGGGACAAATTGTAATCAACCATTGTTTACCGGGTGCTTCCTATTTTGAAATTATGCGAAAAATAGCAAATAATTCATTTTCAAGAAATACCACATTAGTCATTTTAATGGGAAATAGGTGTGATGTAGGCAAAAAAGACCTACTAAACATTTTTGATAGCCTATGCTTACTTATGTAGATAAAATAATTTTGTTCACATTCCCCTACAATAGAAGCTTGCCACAGGAGGAAAATAATTTAAGATATAAATTAAACTTGACATTGAATACATTGACATAATAATGCAAATGCCATATAATTGACATAAACAATTATTTGAAAAATAAATTTATATTGACAACAGATAAATACTATCTGAATAAATATTGTAAAGGACTAATAGCAAATTCGCTATCATATTGTATTAAACATTTAGCCATTAATTTGGCTAACCAAACTGCTTTTATTGAGCAGAACATGGATGTCTGACCCGACGACGTATCAAAGGAGTTTGACAAAGTCTGGCACGGCAGCCTAATAAACAAGCTTCCATCTTTGGGAATCCCTGTTGGCTTATGCAAATGGATCTCCGATTTTCTTGTTGGACGATCAATAAGAGTAGTCCTCGATGGCTACACTTCAAGTCAGCAACCGATTAACACTGGCGTCCCTCAGGGATCGGTGCTGTCTTCAACACTATTTCTACTACACATCAACGATATGCTCAAAGCCGGTACCTTTGGGTACGAAGATGACACAACAGTCACAGCCAAATATCTATCCATGGCAAAAGCCAGCAAGCGTGAGGTCAAGTCTTGTCGTGAGTGCCTTATTAAACGCTTAAATTTGGCTCTTCAGGATAACTCTGATTGGGGCGATGCCAATCTGTTCCAATTTAACGTGTCCAAAACACAAGTCCATTTCGTATGACTCCAATATTCCGAGGTGTGCATGTTAAAATCATGGATCGACTTCAACTTTTGGGCATTGAAATATCCTGCAAGTTGAACTTTGGCGAGTACATCGAATCCTTAGCGAAAACTGCTGGCAAAAACTTGGTATCCTCTCGAAAGCAAGGCAGTACTTCTCCAAGAAACAAAGGCTGAAGTTATAAAAAGCACATTTTGGCATTGAAACATTTGGCTGCTTTGGATTCGGTGGAAAGGCATCGCATGATTTTCGCTAGTTTTCAGAATAGTTAAACATGCGCTCAGTGTTTAATTTATTAATTGATAACTAACGAGATCACTACTTAAGAATTCTTGAAAATCTAGTATATTAAAGACCAGACCAAGGCGACCTAGAGTATTTCAAGTGCGTCGTAATTATTACGAAGAATATAGATGAGGAAGCATTTAAAATAAGATTCAGTTTGTCAAAACATTCTGCACTGAACATACTACAACTGATAGAAAATAAAAGTGCTTTCTAAAAGACTACTTGCAAAAATAAATGATTTATTCTTTTCTCATAAGTTCCAGGGAAAGTTTAGACCATAAGTAGGTTAAGATAACAATACATCAAAATGAAAATATCACACAAAAAATCAAGTGTACTTAAGTTCCACTTTAGAAACGCCGCACAATTAGTTTCCTTAAAAATATTTAGGTAGTACTACCTGAAGACCATGTCAACCGTATCTACAAAAATACTCGTAGATAACAAATAACAACACGTTAAGATAATCCTTTACTATTTTACAATACCCAAACAAAACATTAGTAAACTACCACCTGAATCAGTGATAATTACCTTTACAATTTATAGATAAGTGTGATTTAAAATGACCGCTTAAACCCTTTTTAGCGTTAATGACCTTTACAATTTCCAGGTAATGGTGTAACAACAATACTGGGCTAATTTTTTTTTGCAGATAATTTTGTTCTCAGCCAAGACCTTTTTAACCCCACGTGACCACTATTAGTGTTTTAGAAGTATCTTCTAGGCTTCTATTAAGAATTTACGTTTTTAAACCATTACATAGAAACAAAGAAATATTCGACGATTTTAATTTTGTTTCTGAAGTAGTTTAATGTGAATTATTCTTTTTAATATATTGCGAAATTAAAAAAAGTCTATGAATGATAATGCAATATATTCAAGGACAGGCTTTTATTTTTGAATAAATAGTTTTATACTTGTAGTTTTCTTTTAGTTTCAAGTTTTCTTTTGTTTTCTGTTTATTCATTAAAATTCCTTAACCATTTATCGGTATTTTAACTCATTATTCGGCAGTAGGAATACAGTTACCACTATTGTGAGCTTTATTTCAGTCCAAAAATAATGAAGAAATGCCCATTAAAGGCTTCAAGTCATAATAAAATATTCTTCACATAGTGGCGACTAAATTATTTATTTATTTAACTAGGCGAATGTCTGCTGGACCCCAAAGAAGAGATTAAAACCATTTAGCAAAGTAGGTATTTATAAATTTTGATGATGATGAGTAAAAATGAAACAACACTTAGTTACTAATAAATAATTTAAATTTACAGTATTGGCTTATTGTAGAAGTTGAAGAAGTAAGTTCGTCCATAAGTAAGCTCACGGACACAACAACAAAACGGCAACAAAAAAAGTTGAATAGGTAAGTATATTATTAAATTTGTTTCTGTATTTTATACCATGAATCATAAAAATAATCATCATAATTTAATATGCTCATTAAAGCTAGATATCCTAGCATTATAATATTAATAGCTTTAATAATGCCAGGATAATAATATCTATCCGACAGCAAACGTAAGAATGAGTTTCGCTAAGAATTGTTGTTTTAGTCCGTCATTTACTACAATAAACATTTTACAATGGTAAAAAAAAAATTAAGTAAAAGCATAGCTTTAATGTTATATTCGTCCAATCATTAATGACTGTAATTAAAGGGTTATATCGTAATAAGTCATCATTAATTGCCCTCATTAGCTCCAGATGCCCGTGTTGGGTATATAAGGACATTAGACCAACCCTTTCCACCATTCTTCCTTCAATCCTTGAAGCGAAAGGTGCTATCAGTCGTTTTCAATATATTTGTGATATCCCTAACCCATTAATCATGTAAGTACTTCTTTTAAATAATTCACGTGGTAAAAAATATTAGGTCTCGAATCATACCTTCCCCCACCCTTTCTTATCAGGCGGGCGGACCACGTGACTTAACGCATAAAAGCGCGGAGCGCATCCCTTCTCGTCAGTCTGCATTCTGCCTTCGAAGGGATAAGACGTGCCAATTGTGTTGAGTGTTTTAGTCGTGAGCTTGTGCTTTTGTGATTTTTATCATGTACGTATTTTAATTTCTCTGTTTAAATATTTATGAAAGTGTTTTTGAAATGTCTTTTTAACAGGGAAATCAGTTGTAGTGTTGTTATTAAAATTAAATATTTATGTAGATATTTTAATAGTCATTTGGTGATTTATTTGGTTTGTGTTTTGTTCCAGGAACTCGTTGAACTGGAAAGCGTACCGTTTGGCCAACCAGCAGGCGTCCGCTAGCGACAAGAGCGGTCGGCCAAACGGGCAGCGGACCGGTCCGCACTCCACCCGCCACCAAGGCCCAAGGANTTATGCCCGTTAAAGGCTTCAAGTCATACTTATAAATATTTTTCACATAGTGGCGACTAAATTATTTATTTATTTAACTGGGCGAATGTCTGCTGGACCCCAAAGAAGTGAATAACTATTTTAGCAAGGTTTTATAGATTTTGATGATGATGAGTAAAAATGAAACAACACTTAGTTACTAATAAATAATATAAATTTACAGTATTGGCTTATTGTAGAAGTTGAAGAAGTAAGTTCGTCCTTAAGTAAGCTCACGGACACAACAACAAAATTGCAACAAAAAAAGTTGAATAGGTAAGTATATTATTAAATTTGTTTCTTTATTTTATACCATGAATCATAAAAATAATCATCATAATTTAATATGCTCATTAAAGCTAGATATCCTGGCGTTATATTAATATTTTTATAAATAATGCTGGATATCTAGTCGAAAGCAACGTAAGAATGAGTTTATTCGCTAAGAATTGTTGTTTTAGTGTGTCACTTACTACAATAAACATTTTACAATGGTAAAAAAAAATTAAGTTAAAGCATAGCTTTAATGATATACTCGTCCAATCATTAATGAATGTAATTAAAGGGTTATATCATAAAAAGCATAGCTTTAATATTATATTCGTCCAATCATTAATGACTGTAATTAAAGGGTTATATCGTAATAAGTCATCATTAATTGCCCTCATTAGCTCCAGATGCTCGTGTTGGGTATATAAGCACATTAGACCGACCCTTTTCATCATTCTTCCTTCAACCCTTGAAGCGAAAGGTGCTATCAGTCGTTTTCTATATCTTTGTGATAACCCTAACCCATTTCTAATCATGTAAGTATTTCTTTTAAATAATTCACGTGGTAAAAAATATTAGGTCTCGAATCATACCTTCCCCCACCCTTTCTTATCGTGCGGGCGGACCACGTGACTTTACGCATAAAAGCGCGGAGCGCATCCTTTCTCGTCAGTCTGCATTCTGCCCTCGAAGGGATAAGACGTGCCAATTGTGTTGAGTGTTTTAGTCGTGAGCTTGTGCTTTTGTGATTTTTATCATGTATGTATTTTAATTTCTCTGTTTAAATATTTATGAAAGTGTTTTTGAAATGTCTTTTTAATAGAGGAATCTCTTGTAGTGTTATTATTAATTTCTGTGGAGATTTTAATAGTTATTTGGTGATTTATTTGGTTTGTGTTTTGTTCCAGGAACTCGTCAAACTGGAAAGCGTACCGTTTGGCCAACCAGCAGGCGTCCGCTAGCGACAAGAGCGGTCGGCCAAACGGGCAGCGGACCGGTCCGCACTCCACCCGCCACCAAGGCCCAAGGATTCAGAACCAACGGGTTCTGAGGGCTCTGGGCATGACCTCCGCCATTTCTTCAGCCGGTAAGCAACAAATCCTCCAATATCCTATGACTTTGCCACAGAGTGGCACTGCTCAGTTCACTTTTTTTCCATGTAATGTTTTATGTGCTATTCTGTCTTTTTTATTCTTTCTTCTTTCTACTTCTTTCTATTTATCAACCAATNCCCAAGGACTCAGAACCAACGGGTTCTGAGGGCTCTGGGCATGACCTCCGCCATTTCTTCAGCCGGTAAGCAAAAAATCCTCCAATATCCTATGACTTTGTCACCATTTCTAAGCGTTTACTCTGATTTATTCTGACTGCAAGGGGCACACTGGAAACCAGTGGCCTTCTTCACTTTCTACTTCTTTCTATATAACAACCAATTTATTCTTTCACACAGATCCGAAGCCAGTGGACTTCGTGAAGACCAACGAGCTGAAGGAATGTCTCGTGACATTCAACGTGTTCGAGCCCGAAGCAGAGACCTTCCATCGCATGGAGGTGCTCGGGTCTCTGAACCGTCTGGCGAAGCAGTGGCTCCAAGAGGAGCTGCTGCGAAGGAACGTGCCAACGAATGTCGACGAGACTGGTGGAGGAAACATCTTCACCTTCGGCTCCTATCGCCTCGGGGTACGTAGTCTTTCCTATATCAACTCAGTAGATACCTGACCAAATCTCCCCTTGGTATCCTTAAAGATACCTCACCAACAGCAGATCTCCTTGGTACAATATCCTAAATGTGTTTTTCTTTTGTTATTAGGTACACTGCAGTGGCGCCGATATCGACGCTCTGTGTGTTGTACCCCGGTACATCGATAGGACCGATTTCTTTAAATCGTTCCTTGAACTGCTGAAGGAGCAGCCTGAGGTAAGATATCAATCAATACTTTTCTTCATAATGTTCTTAAGTCTAATAAGTTCCAGATCGCTTATATTTTTGTTTGTTTCTAGGTCAAGGAATTGCGAGCGATCGAGGAAGCGTTCGTTCCGGTCATGAAGATGAAGTTCGATGGCGTCGAAATCGACTTGCTATTCGCGAGGCTGTCTCTTCATGCCATACCGGGTGAGTCAACATCTTAGCTTCGAAAGCTATGCTAATCCAAGCTTTAATCTCAGCATGCTAACGTTCGTTTTCGTTTGCAGAAAACCTTGACCTCAGCAGTAACGAGCTGCTTAGATACCTCGACGAGAAGTGCGTCCGCTCACTCAACGGGTGCAGAGTGACGGACGAGATTATCCGCTTGGTCCCCAACGCGGATAACTTCATGCTGGCCCTGAGAGCTGTCAAACTTTGGGCCAAACGTAAGTTTACAGTCCTTCTTCTAAGACATTTTCAAATTTTAAATCTTCTTATACATTTTTAAGCATTTTTTAAAAGTAGTCCTTAATCAGTGTCTTAGTAGTTCATATAGTTAAGAAAGAACAGTTATTCGGCAAGTGAAAAGTCGTGCGTTCGATTCCCACTTAAGGCAATTCGATTTTTGAATTCATTTAAAATTAAGTTACGTCTTCTAGGCTTTTATTGACCAATGGATGTGTCCACAGGTCGAGGTATCTACTCAAACAGCCTGGGCTTCTTGGGCGGCGTGTCGTGGGCACTGCTCCTGGCTCGCGCTTGCCAGCTGTACCCCACGGCGCTGCCGGCGACACTGCTGAACAAATTCTTCCTCGTGTTCAGCCAGTGGAAGTGGCCGCAGCCTGTGCTGCTCAAGAAGCCCGAGAACGCAGGGTTCGGCTTCCAAGTTTGGGACCCACGGGTAAGTAAATATTTGACCTTCTCTTTTCTATAATTTTGACAAACTTGACTTTCACTGGTTGGGTTTTTATTGGCAGTCAAGCTGTAGATCAAATTCAAATAGGTAATTCAGTACAAAGTCCCTTTCCAGGGCACTTATACACGTCCCAAATATAGTTTGCCCTACCATCCTGGCTACAAATAATACCCCTATTCTATAATTTTGACTTCTTTCTAACCAAAGTGTTTCTTTGTGTACAGGTGAATCTACATGATCGGTATCATCTGATGCCGATCNAATTCGATTTTTGAATTCATTTAAAATTAAGTTACGTCTTCTAGGCTTTTATTGACCAATGGATGTGTCCACAGGTCGAGGTATCTACTCCAACAGCCTGGGCTTCTTGGGCGGCGTGTCGTGGGGGCTGCTGCTGGCTCGCGCTTGCCAGCTGTACCCCACGGCGCTGCCGGCGACACTGCTGAACAAATTCTTCCTCGTGTTCAGCCAGTGGAAGTGGCCGCAGCCTGTGCTGCTCAAGAAGCCCGAGAACGCAGGGTTCGGCTTCCAAGTTTGGGACCCACGGGTAAGTAAATATTTGACCTTCTCTTTTCTATAATTTTGACAAACTTGACTCTCACTGGTTGGGTTTTTATTGGAAGTCAAGCTGTAGATCAAATTCAAATAGGTAATTCAGTACAAAGGCCCTTTCCAGGGCACTTATACACGTCCCAAATATAGTTTACCCTACCATCCTGGCTACACAGGAGATGCAGCAGTGGGAATAGCCCTATTCTAAAATTTTGACTTCTTTTGTCTAACCAAAGTGTTTCTTTGTGTACAGGTGAATCTATATGATCGGTATCATCTGATGCCGATCATCACCCCGGCGTATCCTCACCAGAACTCGACATATAATGTGTCCGAGTCGACCCGCACCATTATCATGGAGGAGTTTAGAAATGGTGAGTCAAAACCTTTACAACTTTATAAATAACTCTCTCTCATCATCATCATTTCAGCCACAGGACTTCCACTGCTGAACATATTATTATAATGTTCAGCAATCGGAGAGACCTATGTCTCTCCCAATGATTTCCGCATCGAATCCAACTCGGCTGGGCAGCGTTTGGTTCCTACGTCGAATGTTAATCAGTGTGTGTAACCCTCCATTTTGTGCAATATTGAATTTTAACAATATTTTGTCTTCTTTCTCAGGTCTGGCGATAACGGAGGAGGTAATGGCGGGCAAATGTGGTTGGGACCGTCTCTTTGAGACGCCCAACTTCTTTGCTCGCTATAAGCACTACATCGTGCTCTTGGCTTCCTCCAACAGCGCTGAAGACCAGCTCCAGTGGTGCGGGTACACTGAGAGCAAGATACGCCACCTTGTCTGTAAGTATCCAGCATTCCACCCAAATGTATCCATTATTTCAGGTTTGATAGAACAGTATAACTTTAATTGATTATGTCTTTTGTCGCAGCAAGCTTGGAGCGGAACCAACTCATCTCCGTAGCACACGTGCACCCAGTGTGCTATCCCAGCGTGCCGCTCCACACCAACAATGGGCAGCCGATGGCTTTGGCACCAGGTAAATTACATTTCCTACCATGTTATTGAAAGTTTGGATCAATATTCCGGAGTGAGCAGCATTTCTAACATATATTTTGTTTGTCTATAGGTTCCTCGGCCTTTGAAGTGACAGCGGAGGTCAAGACCGAAGATGGTGTCAAAACCGTCAACGTAAGTCTTTTTTTTCGTTGATGGTTTTCCGACATTTTTGTATCTTTTTTTAGAATGTATTTGAACAATGTTTTTTTTTGTTTATAGGGAGATGGGAAACCAAGACACTGCTCGATGTGGTTCATCGGCCTGGCGTTCGAGCAGCACAATGTCTCCGTGGACTTGACATATGACATTATGTCTTTCACGAAAACATTGTGCTACCAGGCCGATAGGAGCAACGTGTCGCGAGTCGGCAGGACGATTGAGGTGAGCTACATTACATTTACTTTAACATTATCGTTGTTTGTCACCTGTCAACCGCTTTGCAATGGAGGGAAGTCGAACCTTAACTTCGAACGATTAATTTCGTTGCTGATCTAATGACAGTTTAACTTTCCCCCGGGACAAACTTGACCTTCATTGGTTGGGTTTTTATTCGCGATCAAGCTGTAGATCCTGGCTACACAGGAGTTACAGCGGTGGGAACAAGAGGTGGGAATAGTCCCATTTGATAACATTATGTAAGTGAAGCGGCGTCCTGAGCACAACAATACAACAAACAAGGAACCCCAAATAAAAGTGTTGAGGGGAAGGGCAAGGGACATGGTCCTGACCTATTTGGAACGGCAGAAGAACCGGAGGACTGAAGTGACCTCGACATACCAGACAGAGATTCTTGAAATGGTTATTTCAAATAGTCATTTTCCATTTCCTTCAAATGATTTTTCATTGTTCCAGGCCCGTTATGTTCGCCGCAAAGAGCTCCGGCAGTACCTTTGCGAGTCGCTTCTGGAAGGCGCATTGGCAGCAGGCGATAAGCGACGCCGTGCCACACGCGATGCGCCATCCAAGAAGCGACGAGTGGAGGAAGCTGACGGAGCTTGAGGCGTCGTATGGCCTCCGACTGCCGACTCCTGACCAGTCGTGTAACGTCGTCTCCGCGAAAGCGTCGAGACTCCGCCACGACGGATCGAAGTGCGAAACTATGACGCACGTTCTCCGAAAGAGAACCGGTTAGTAAAAGTTCTATTATTTTTAAACGTTTTGAAAGTTCTTTAAATTTCCTCTGTTACTACTCAAGTCTGGGTGTCACTATGTATAATAATACAAGTAGTATATCCTTTAAACTAGCACTCATTCCATATTATATTGCTTACTTTGGGGCTAGATGGCACTCTGTGAAATTGTTCAAAGATATTTATTTATCCTCCTCCTCCACCAATTTAACCACAGATTCATTGTTTATTGCAGATCCGAAGCTTTATCTGAAGCTATGTCTCATCGCATTCAACGCCCGTCAACAATTCAACGAAAGGAAAGAAGCAACGAGCATCGGGACAAGCCAAACGAGCTTGACAATAAAAACGCCTGTGATTATAAAAATTTGTACCATTTTGAATATTTATATGGAAGCACCAAGCACCAAAAATTGTAATAGGCAAATTATATCTTTGTAACTATCTAGTCGATGCTATCCATATTGTCTCTAATTTAAAACATGTCAAAAATAAATTTATTATTCATACTCAATAAAGTGTTTTCTATTATGCCTACCACCATTTAAACACTAAGCACACTGAACATGAACACAGAAACACAAAACCAACAGAATAACTATCACTTAAAATTCAATAAGCAAGAAGAATCATTTAGCACAAATTTCGTTTCAATAATACTTTTACATAAATTGACCCTACTGCTTNTATGATCGGTATCATCTGATGCCGATCATCACCCCGGCGTATCCTCACCAGAACTCGACATATAATGTGTCCGAGTCGACCCGCACCATTATCATGGAGGAGTTTAGAAATGGTGAGTCAAAACCTTTACAACTTTATAAATAACTCTCTCTCATCATCATCATTTCAGCCACAGGACTTCCACTGCTGAACATATTATTATGTTCAGCAATCAGGGAGACATAATGTCTCTCCCAATGATTTCCGCATCGAATCCAACTCGGCTGGGCAGCGTTTGGTTCCTACGTCGAATGTTAATCAGTGTGTGTAACCCTCCATTTTGTGCAATATTGAATTTTAACAATATTTTGTCTTTTTTCTCAGGTCTGGCGATAACGGAGGAGGTAATGGCGGGCAAATGTGGTTGGGACCGTCTCTTTGAGACGCCCAACTTCTTTGCTCGCTATAAGCACTTCATCGTGCTCTTGGCTTCCTCCAACAGCGCTGAAGACCAGCTCCAGTGGTGCGGGTTCACTGAGAGCAAGATACGCCACCTTGTCTGTAAGTATCCAGCATTCCACCAAAATGTATCCATTATTTCAGGTTTGAAAGAACAGTATAACTTTAATTGATTATGTCTTTTGTCGCAGCAAGCTTGGAGCGGAACCAACCCATCTCCGTAGCACACGTGCACCCAGTGTGCTATCCCAGCGTGCCGCTCCACACCAACAACGGGCAGCCGATGGCTTTGGCACCAGGTAAATTCCATTTCCTACCATGTTATTGAAAGTTTGGATCAATATTCCTGAGTGAGCATCATTTCTAACGTATATTTTGTTTGTCTAAGGTTCCTCGGCCTCTGAAGTGGCAGCGGAGGTCAAGACCGAAGATGGTGTCAAAACCGTCAACGTAAGTCTTTTTTTTCGTTGATGATTTTCCGACATTTTTGTATCTTTTTTTAGAATGTATTTGAACAATGTTTTTTTTTTGTTTATAGGGAGATGGGAAACCAAGCCACTGCTCGATGTGGTTCATCGGCCTGGCGTTCGAGCAGCACAATGTCTCCGTGGACTTGACATATGACATTATGTCATTCACGAAAACATTGTGCTACCAGGCCGATAGGAGCAACGTGTCGCGAGTCGGCAGGACGATTGAGGTGAGCTACATTACATTTACTTTAATAACATTATCTTTGTTTGTCACCTGTCAACCGCTTTGCAATAGAGGGAAGTCGAACCTTAACTTCGAACGATTAATTTCGTTGCTGGTCTAATGACAGTTTAACTTTCCCCCGGGACAAACTTGACCTTCATTGGTTGGGTTTTTATTTGCGGTCATGCTGTAGATCCTGGCTACACAGGAGTTACAGCGGTGGGAACAAGAGGTGGGAATAGTCCCATTTGATAACATTATGTAAGTGAAGCGGCGTCCTGAGCACAACAATACAACAAACAAGGAACCCCAAATAAAAGTGTTGAGGGGAAAGGCGAGGGATATGGTCCTGACCTATTTGGAACGGCAGAACAACCGGAGGACTGAAGTGACCTCGACAGACCAGACAGAGATTCTTGAAATGGTTTTTTCAAATAGTCATTTTCCATTTCCTTCAAATGCTTTTTAATTGTTCCAGGCCCGTTACGTTCGCCGCAAAGAGCTCCGGCAGTACCTTTGTGAGTCGCTTCTGGAAGGCGCATTGGCAGCAGGCGACAAACGACGCCGTGCCAAACGCGATGTGCCATCCAAGAAGCGACGAGTAGAGGAAGCTGACGGAGCTTGAGGCTATATGGTCTCCGACTGCCGACTCCTGACCAGTCGTGTGTCGTCGTCTCCGCGAAAGCGTCGAGACTCTGCCACGACGGATCGAAGTGCGAAACTATGACGCACGTTCTCCGAAAGAGAACCGGTTAGTAAAAGTTCTATTGTTTTTAACAGTTTTGAAAGTTCTTTAAATTTCCTCTGGTACGACTCAAGTCTGGGTGTCACTATGTATAATAATACAAGTAGTATATCCTTTAAAATAGCACTCATTCCATATTATATTGCTTACTTTGGGGCTAGATGGCACTCTGTGAAATTGTCCAAAGATATTTACATAATATTACTCCAATTTAACCGCAGATTTTTGTTTGTTGCAGATCCAAAGCTTCAGCTGAAGCTATGTCTCATTGCATTCAAAGCCCGTCAAGAATTAAACGAAAGGAAAGAAGCAACGAGCATCGGGGCAAGCCAAATGAGCTTGACAATAACACTTGTGATTATAAATTGTACCATTTTGAATATTTATATGGAAGCACCTAGCACCAAAAATTGTAATAGCCAAATTATATCTTTGTAACTAGACTATCTAGTCGATGCTATCCATATTGTCTCTAATCTAAAACATGTCAAAAATAAATTTATTATTTCATACTCAATAAAGTGTTTTCTATTATCCCTACCACCATTCAAACACTAAGCACCCTGAACATGAACACAGAAACACAAAACCAACAGAATAACTATCACATAAAATTAATTAAGCAAGAAGAATCATTTAGCACAAGTTTCGTTTCAATAATACTTTTACATAAATTGACCCTACTGCTTCAGGACTTGATCTTGGCCAGTGCTGTCACAGAAGCAAGAATTTGGGAATGATTATCGACAGAAACCCTTTTGAAAGCCATAATAGGTACTAATAAATATTTGAATACACTAGAAATTGTTTATACCATTTAAAGTTACATCAGTTGAGACCCTAAATACAAAAATCCTGCTGGATCTCAAATCGTACCGCCAATTACCCAAACCAATGGAAAGAGCCGAAACAGTTCAGCAAGACTAGAAAGCTCTCGATACTTTATGCCTTTAGCCCTTATGCCCTGATTAATGTGACAAAGTATCAATGAATATGACTGTTCCTCTCAAACATAATCCGTTGATTCGATCTATCGATGAAGATGATGATGATGATTCGATGTATAGGTACTTAACTACAGGACATCATCAAGAATGACGAACAGATAGAAGATTCAACGTAGATTTTTACACGACAAGCTACAAAAAGCTGTTGCACAGTTTGACAGAATTAATAAATTTGAAAGTTTACTGTGTTACTTGTGAAGAATAAATAAGTAAAATATAAACAAGGCATAGCTTCACGAGTATTAGGACTTGTGTCAACACTGTCTGTCTTTAATCAAGGAGATGCAAGATTTCGGTGAAGTGCGCTATGGAGAATATGCGCCCCTTTACCACTATCTTCCTGGGACAGCTCAACCTAAGGAGAAGATGGCTAAGAACCGCGCAGAAATGTTTGATACCTGAGATATTCAGCTCAAAAACAATTTGGAAGACATCTTATCTGAAGGAATTGAATGTCTTCTCTGAAGGATGTTATCACAAACATTCAGCTCCAAATCAATCTGGAAGACATTATTAGCGACGCAATAGAATGTCTTTATTGCTGTGGATGATCGTTTTCATGCTGAGGAACTCACAAGGTTCAGAAGCAACTTGACGCTGTCGTCAGCCGGGATCGTCTCCCAAATATAGAAGCTATACAAAATCTTCCATATATGGAGACCAAATTTCTAGGTGAGCATCGTGAAACTTAGGACCTGCGCAGTCAAGAGTTTTTTCATGCCTTTAGGAATCCGCCGACGAATGTGTTTGACTCACTCGAACAATGAGGTAGGTTGTTAAGTTTTCTTCGAGGATTGCATCATTGATGTGTGTCCACTAGGGTGACTCTCTGCCATCGTCGGAGTCTTTCCGCGTGAAGTTCTTTCTTTCGGGAGATCCTGAGTCATCAGTTTGATGATGAAGCCAATCGCTGATGATTGAAGTCTGAACCGTTTGGCCAGACAGTGGCTCCACTTGGAGCTCTTACGAAGCGCAAAGGAACATGCCATCGAATATCGCCGAGATGAAGGAAAGTCTCGTTTAATACAACGTGAACTCGTGTTCTTGCAGACGAAATCATATTTTGATGATGTTGAAACTGAAACGTATTCGGCACAGAAAAATTTGGATGACTCCTTATCTGAGGGAATGGAGATAATGAAATATTCATTGCTGTGGAAGACCCTAGCATGGATATGTTCCTTTCGAGCATAATGCGTTAATTAAATGCTGTGAAGCTCTAGGCATCGTCAACAGCCACGGACGGCTATGGAAGAGTCAACATAGATTTTTACACGACAAGCTACAAGAGTTCAGCATGACTTACATTGGCAACGGGAAAATCGAAGGCAGAATACTGGACGAGGTATTAGGACATGTGTCAACACTAAGACGGCCCGAGGTTTCACAATGTAGAATATGTCCTTTACAACTATCTTTCTGGGAAACCACAACTTCCTGGACAACCTGTCATACATTTTTAATGGCGTTTTTGAAAACGAAACGAGAAACTTGAGTGGGGAAAATTAAATTCGAACTCACTCGAACTGGAAATCGGAATCGCTCGAGACGAGCGTTGGAGGGTTGGACTCGAGTTGCTGCCAATGACTGGACAGCTAATCGTCGTTCAACTCCGGAATAATATTTTAGCTAGTAAAGCTTAAAACCAGTTTCAATCAATGCAGTAAGGAATATAAATACAATCAGAAGCGAGTTTCCATGATTGAGGATTACTTGTTCGACGCCTAGGACCACATCCGACTCCTAGGAGACTGCGAAACCAGAGCAAATAGCGATGCAAACTGACGCTTTGGGCATTCAATTATGAGCAAAGGAAGAGTCTAAACCGACCCACACCAACAGATTTAATTATAAAAATGGCAAAATCAGACGACCGGAACAATAATTTGTTATAATAAATCGTTTAATCATCAGACACTCTTTTCAGGTCCGTACATTGTGAATATTAATATTCCTGGGAAAGCTCAAGCTAAGGAGAAGGTGGCTAAGATCCTCGCAGAAATATTCGAGTTCTACCTGACACTCATTAAAACTTTAGACTTCAGCTGTCAAGAGTGTTCTTCATTCCTTTTGGAGTCAAGCCAACGAATGTGTTTGAGACATCTTGGCTCGAATGTGGATCACTTAACATACTATCAACCAGAAGTTGAAAGGAATTACCCAACTTATTGTGTATTTAATTGAGATCTAGAAGGCTAAAGCGGTAGGTAGAGGGCAAACAATTGGGTGAACTCTTTTGTGCCGGAATGGAAACAATGCTGAGGGACCCAGAAGTGACTACGAAGGTTAAAAAGGAACGCGACAAAACATATGGAAAATCTTCCTGCAGACACCACAATAATTAAGGTATGTGTATTAAATTGAAACTACGAGTAAAAGGGAAAATCAAGAGCTTTATAGTCGTGGAAAAACTGACGCTTTGAGCATTCGATCATGAGCAAGAGAAGAGCGGAAACAGTTCAACCCGAGCAGATTTTATCGATGACAATTATTTTTCATAGTCATAAGTGCCACTTGTGCTCTAAACTGAATAAATATTTTTGATTTTGATTTTGAATGGTTAAATGACTGTTTGGCTACTTCATGCCTTTCGGAGTCGCTGATAAATGTATGTAGGACATCCTTCCTTCTTCACTAGTATGGATATGCTCTTTTCGAGCATGCGTGAAAATATGTCTCCACGTGTGAGACTCATAGCGTGGGCAGGCCTCCTACAAGGTGGACCGATGATCTGGTGAAGGTCGCGGGAATGCAGCCACGGACGGCTATTGAAAAGTCAATGTATACTTTTATTATGACAAACTACGTCAGTTTGGCATGACTTACATGGATGGTCAACCGGAACTTGGCTTCGTAGCAACACTAAGACGGTCGGAAGCTTCTCTAGTGGATGACAATCCCGTTCTCGCGCTAGCTGTATCAAATATAATTTGTGGAATCACCATTTCTGTCAGTCAATCATGGAAATGCAATATTTGAAAGACTCAATTATCTCATTGAAGTGAACTATGGAGAATTTGTGCCCCTTTACAACTATCTCCCTAGGAATCCACAACTTCCGAGACAATCCGTCAAAAAAGTTTGATGGGGTTTTTGAAAACAAATTGGAAAGCCTAAAAAAGTGGGGGAAATGAAATCCGCACTCACACGTTTGGAATCGCTCGAGAAGCGTTGGAGGTGCGGCTTGAGTACCAACGACAGACAATCGTCATGGAAGAGTCAACGTAGATTTCTACGCGACAAGCACACTTCCACAAAAATTAATGTCGTCATTAATTCACTCGGTTCGCGAATTGACGTTAAAAATTGGTCGACAGTTATGGATATGACACAGCGAGTCACGGCAAACCGAGACAGTCAAAATAATGTTGTTGGCAATGTCTCAAAGCCCACCTACGCAGAAAGACTTAAGCTAAAAATGCCTAAAGTCGCTCNATGTAACTATCTTCCTGGGAAATTCAAGCTAAGGAGAAGGTGGCTAAGAACCGCGCAGAAATGTTGTTCTACCAGACGCTCATAGACGAGCATCGCCAAACTTTGGACCTCGGTAATGCCAGAGATTTAATTGATGTGTATTTAATTGAGATCGGAAAGGTAAGATCGGCAAAGGCAAAATCAAGAGCAAGTGGTAGAACCTGACGCTTTGCACGTTCGATTATGAGCAAAGGAAGAGCCAAAACAGTTGGACCTGTTCAAAATCATCTTTGACAACGGCTAAATCAGACGACCGGAATACTTCATGCCTTTCGGAGTCGCCAACAGTGTAAGGACATCCCCGCTCAAATGGATATGACTTATGTTCTTTTCGAGCATAAAGAACCAATAAAATATATGTTTTTACGAAGGTGACTCACTGCTGTGATGTTTCAAGCATCATCTTCAACGAAGGACGGCTATGGAAGAGTCAAAGTATAATTATGTACTTTTACATGTCAAACTACGTGAGTTTAGCATAAGTTTCATCGGCAAACGACTCATTGCAACACTAAGACGGTCCGAGGCTTCACTATTGGATGCCAATCTCTTTCTCGTGTCAAAAGTAATTTGTGGAATTACCTTATTGTGTATCAGGTTCAGTCACGGAGATGCAATATTTGAAAAAAAAAACATTTACTTATCTCATCGAAGAAGGCATGCGCCCTTCGGTGAAGGTGCACTATGGAGAATATGCGCCTCTTTACAACTATCTTCCTGGGAAAGATCAAGCTAAGGAGAAGGTGGCTAAGAACTGGGCAGTGTTTTTCTACCAGACGCTCATAGACAAACATCGCCAAACTTTGGATCTCGGCAATTCCAGAAATTTAATTGATGTGTATTTAATTGATGTGTATTTAATTGATGTGTATTTAATTGAGATCGGAAAGGTAAGATCGGCAAAGGCAAAATCAAGAGCAAATAGTGGTAGAAACTGACGCTTTGCACGTTCGATTATGAGCAAAGGAAGAGCCGAAACAGTTGGACCTGTTCAACATTATCTTTGACAACGGCTAAATCAGACGACCGGAATACTTCATGCCTTTCGGAGTCGCCAACAAATGTGTAAGGACATCCCCGCTCGAATGGATATGTTTATGTTCTTTTCGAGCATAATGAATGAATTAAATATATGTTTTCAAGAGGTTGACTCACTGCTGCGATGTTCTGAGCATCATCTTCAACGAAGGACGGCTATGGAAGAGTCAACGTATACTTTTACACGACAAACTACGTCAGTTTGGCATGACTTACATGGGCAACCAGAACTTGGCTTCGTAGCAACACTAAGACGATCCTAGGCTT